TGCTACAGCGTGGGTTAGGCGATAGACCAAACAGTACAGTGATTCTCTAAGGTCGCGGGTTCGAGTCCGGCAGAACCCAAAAACGGCTTAGGTGATCTTCACCGGGGGCGACTTAAGCTGATGGATGACCGGGGCTTCCCATGTGTCTCAGAGCCAACTGAGACAAATTGACCCCAAAAGACGCATGTGACGTCGGGTCGAGTCACTCTTAGAGAGGGTGGACTGTTTGGGCGGTCACCAGCTTAAGTACCCACGCCCAGTGATTCCAGGCAGAGAATCACTGTAGTGCCCTTTTGGCTCAGGTGTTAGAGCATTAGGTGCCAGATTTGTTGTCGCTACAGCGTGGGTTAGGCGATAGACCAAACACACCCAAAAAAAAAATTTGGTCACATGGGGGGTTGAACCCAGGTCCCAGCCTAAGTTTTTTTTGTCGTCACCATCAAGTCAATGAAATATGGGGATGGTGTCAGGATGGTCATAAGTGATGGTAGTGGTCGGCAACGGTTGCTGGTGACAACTTTTGACCAAAAACCAAAGTTGATGTTGACGCTTCAAAATGACTGCCTGTGGGGTCGGAAATGCGTTTACGCACCAAAAACCAAACTCGTTCAGGTTGGCTCAGAACACATGCCTGTGAAGACGGATTTTCAATCCGACCACTTTTGGGTGACCGCATACGTTGACCAACACGTTTCCGCACCAAAAACCACATCTGCTCAGAATGTTTCAAAACACATGCCTGTGAAGACGGATTTTCAATCTGACCACTTTTGGGTGACTGCCTACGTCGACCGACACGTTTCCGCACCAAAAAACAAATTTGCTCAGAATGTTTCAAAACACGTGCGGCGGCTGCGCGACCCTAAATGTGTACACGCAGCGCCCTGGAAGAAACAAGCACAAGCAGCATACTTCTTACGACAATCAGCCCATACCCACCGTATGTTCATCACCACATCCACTTCCCCTGCTTCCATTACCCGCGCAGCTCTGCTTCAGGCAAAGATCTGATCCACTGTGGCGTGCAGCCTTGACAGTCTGCAGCATCACATACAATTTTGTTGGTGCACAGTGTCGAACAAGTGTACCACCAAACTTGCCGACCACGCCTTGCAGGCTGTGCAGGGCACTTTGGACAGTGTCTAGTACGTTGGTAGACACCAGTGAAGCAGTACATGCAGTCACTGATGCTCACCAAGCTCTTTTGACTCAGATCATACGGTGCAATTCTGTCCGTGCACGGTGTCGAACAAGTGTACCACCAAACTTGCCAACCACGCCTTGCAGGCTGTGCAGGGCACTTTGGACAGTGTCTAGTATGTTGGTAGACACCAGTGAAGCAGTGCTTGTAGTCACTGACGCTCACCAAGCTCTTTTGGCCCAGATCATATCACACATTTCCGTACAGTCTTGCACGGTGCAGAATGGCACGCAAACCCACAAAGCGGGAACTTATGCGCAAAGAGAGCAATAAGAAGCGTCGAGCAGCATGGGCACCAACTGAAGAAGTAGTGCAGCTGTGTCCAGGCAGTCAAGATGAAGAAACACCGCTCGGCAAGGACAATAGCATGTTGACGGTTGTGAATGCCGCAACTGGGGCAACCATACTACAGCGCTTGCCAACAGCGTCAATGCGCTCACACCGCAGGGTCATTGCACTGGCAAAGGAGGGACGCACCGTGTGCAATGACTTGTGGGAGGCGGTGGTACGGTCAGGAAAAAAGGACGTCATCTTTTACGAGCGGACTAAGAAGAATGCAAAGAAGCAAGGTGGGAGTCAGTCTCTTGCGGTGGGTTTGATGCGGTACGCAGCAGGCAGAGGAAAGAACGTGAGCGCAAAGTGGGGATGGGCAATGGCGCACGAGGTGGCTCCAGTAGAGGCAGCAGCAATGCTCAGATGGCTGAAGGCATTTGTTGAGCTCACGGTCGAGACACACTTCAGGCAAGACCGCATTGCAGAGGACTTTGCGGCGCGTATCAAGGCAAGAGAGGCATTGCGCGGGGTGATGCAGCATGCACTTGGTGTGGATGGTGCAAATCAAGTGCATCAGTACTTTCACACCAGAGAAGTCATACAGGGTATAACTGGCGGCTTTCACCTCGACCCACATGATGACGTGCCAAACATACTGATCAACCTTGGGAGCGCCGTGGAGTTGCAGCTTGCAGAGTACGGCAAAGTGCACATGAATGTTGCGACCGTGGTGCTCTTCAATAATAGGGAACTACATCATGCGGTACGCTCTGCACCATCAAGCACAGCAGAAGAGCGGTG